AAGTTTAGCACATTTTATATAAAGTGAATCAATGTTAATTATAAATATAATATGATGCTAAAGTATATTACTATTACTAACTAACAAAAAAGCACAAAAATTTGTAACTAAAAACATTAAAAAGGAAATAAAATCAAATACTAAAAACCTTCAATTAACACGAAGAAGGGGGAAATATGAAAGAGAATTTTAAAAATTGGGGCTGCATATAAATCAAATTGAAAATTATAAATCAAAACTTGACTCCTCAATAAGTTATCCAGAAGACAAAATAATTATAAATTTGGATGTAATAACTGATATTTAATATAATGAACCTGACACTGATGGAATTAAGTAAGTAGATGTTTTATGCAAGAATTATAAATATAGATTTATCTTACTAATATCCTGAAATTAGTTCCTTAATATTTGTACATATGACATTTTAAAAAATGAAAATAATGTAAAGACCATATCTGTAAATTAAATTGTGACTCTCTTATGCACTAGATGCTGGCAACGTATCTTGAGATAAAAAATTGGCAGAGGTAATCTCTTTTTCGATATCATTTTCTAGGATAAGAAATATTTAGAACATTAGAGATATTTCTTTCTGTCATATTATCTACATAGTGCATAAATTATATTGCTGAGACTTTTGCATTCATGACCTCATGCTTTATTGTCCAGTTAGAGGTTAGAGCCAAACTTTTAGACATGGGATAAATAAATAAATCCATACCTTAAACACTAGTTCTCCTACCAAGCCATTCCATGTCCCATCTTCTTGAGGGCTTCCATACTTGTGATCCGGTGCAACATAAATTTCATAGTTAAAACCCAGGTAGTTAGATAAGGCATCCAAAACATCAATGGAGAAGCCCTGGTATTTCTTCGGCTTACCCAAGACATTTTCAGAAACCATTACAAAAGGTTCTTCCTATATGGAAATAAAACAAATTCTTGAAGTTAGTCTACATTTTCCCTAAAGGTCTGATGCCAAAGAATGACATAGCATAAAAAATTATCTTTACTCTTGGGGGAAGGGATTTAGGAGTACAATGTATGTATCATTAATATGTCATATTGCATAGTATTATAAACATCTAATCACCCAACTCCTTTTAATTATTCTATTTAATTATTTTATTGCCACAAACCAATTAGAAGCAAATGACTGCAAAAGTTCAGAGGTCATTAGTTCATTTTCCTTGCCATCACAGGAGGAATCTAAGATTCATCTGTTAAAAAAATCATATTTAAGAAACTATGAATTTATTGTTATATACTTATTGTATTAATAAAATTATGTATGAGTATAGTTTAACTGATATGATCAATATACAATCCACAAAGATGATCAAATACCGTGAAACTATATGTAACTTAGCAAAAGTTGTACAATTTACTAGGAAAAATATGCTGAGTAATTTTATAACTTTATTGAAGCCACACATTTTCTTGCAGGCATAATGCATTGAGAAATTCACTTACCTTTTGGGTAAATTGTCAAATTTAGTAAATTTAGCAAATTGGTTGCTACATGCACCTCTTTTTGTTCACATTTTTTTTCTCTTTTAACTAAAAAATAGACCTCTTTCACTTTAAAGAACACTTGGTGTTGACAGTTCAACTGGTTTGAAACATGTTGGCAGAGAAAGGGAAATTAGATAATCTCTTCCTTCATTTCCTAAATTTGTTCAGAAATGTTTTAGCAATAGCAATATATATATACAGACAATAATTTACAGTGTATTTAGTCCATCCAGCCCTCTGGGCTAGGTAAAACTGTCCCTGGACCCAGGCCAGACTAACCAAAAATTTTATTCTTGAATCATTTGTCCCTGGAGATTCATAAACTAGCCTTCGCTGAGATGTAAAATAATACTTGGTTTCTGGCTTTTACTCAAAGTCACTAAATAATAGCTTTACAAAAACCACTGCACCTGTTAAGAGAAATATTGTCCATCTTAATTACTCAATTTTCCCATAAAAACTACCAAGAGATGAATTTGCTCAATTATTTAGGGCCAAGAAATCTTCATTTTGCCCCAGTAATATCTGTCTTAAATGATGAAAATATTGTAATATGGATATACATCTCTGTTGGATACTCAGATTACATTAAATTTGATGTCCAGCTACAAATATATTTATTTTGTGCTACTTTAATTTTTAAAAATATTGATTTTATAATTAGTTTTTATTTTTTAAAACTCTGGTTATGCTTTTTCATATTTTAGAGTAAAATTAATCAATAAATGAATCTTTGTAGAAGGCTAACAGTTATCCCAAATAGTCATTTTTCTTGATCTTTTCTAATGATGTATATATTTCTTCTATTTTAGAATGAATTGATAATACAGAAAATGAACTTAATTCCACTTTTATAAGTAACTTGCTAGACAAACGGAAACCTTTCAGAGGTCTTTTCATCAAAATCTGGTTCCAACAACTTCAGCTAAAATTGATTAAATATATAGAATAGTTATGGCTATATGAAGGGCTCTTTTAAATAATATTGCTGAATTATTGATGAGCATGCCTCTTAAATTTTATATGCTAAATAAATTCTTATTACACCCTATTACTCCTTTTCTGGATCAATGTTCCTAAGCCTTAATGTTAAGCTCTATTACATATTTGTTTTACTATTCAAAAATTTTAATTCATACTGGATGTGCTTTATGAGGACAATCAGCCAATATATTGGACAGGTAAACATAATAGCAGAAATTAGATCGAAAAATGTTACTTGTTCCTTTTCTGCAGCAATACTTAGGTTGAGTTCATCATGTTTATCGATGCACCTATTTTCCAAAATGTACACATTCATTGGCTCAGCCATTAAACATTCATTGAGCAGCTGTGCCTCAAGTTACGACCATTAAAAGAGTGAAGAATGAGGTAATAAAAATATGGACACCACTTTCAAAATAATAATAGTGAAGCAGCGGTGTCTTATGGAAACTAATTTAGTGGTGGGCAATGAAATTGCACCTCTGTTCAAACATGTGATACTTGTCTTTTATATAACTTTTCTTGGATATATGCTTTTACATCACAGCATAACATTGGCTCAAAAATCCCAGTTAAGCTTATTGATCTTCTACTGGTCACATTATGGCACTAAGTGACATCTGCAGCCCCCTCGCTTGTCCTAATGGAAAACTGACCTACGGTGTGCTGACTGTCCTGCTATTTCCCCTCCGTTTCTGTTCTTTCCATACCTAGCAGAGCAAGACCTGCAGTCCCTCTTGACCCACGAAGGCTCTCAAACAAGAAAGTAAGAGTTGTAACTTGCTGAATGATCTCTCACAGCTGGTGATGGAAAATGTGATGTGGAATAGAGCCACTCAGTGTTGCCCCTCTTCAAGGAGCAGCCCTGGGGTAAGCCATGTCTACCACACTGTCGATTTACCTCTGTAGTAGGGAAGACATAGACTCAAAAAGACGTGAGAGTCTACAATTAAAGCAAAAAACCCTAAGCAGGACACTCTTGCCTCTAAGGACTGTCTGGCTGTACATCCTCCTGGAGAGATTTGTTTGATTCTTCTTCAATCTTCCTTAGTCAACGTCCAACTTTCACACGCATATGAGGCAACTGGAAATATCACGTCTGGATCAGGCGCATCTTAGTCCTCAGAGTGACCTCCTTGAATGTCAGCATTTTAAAGAGGTCTCGTGCAGCAGATTTACCTAATGCAGTGTGCCGTTTGATCTGACTGCTAAAGCAGGCGAGGGGCTCATATGCAAGCTCGGGTAGAAGGTGAAGAACATGAAAACAAGTTCGCAAGTGCCTAACTATAACCTTGAGTATTCTCCAACTGAATTTCAAGAAAAATTAAATCCAATAATAGCTTTGACACACTAAGAAATAATGACGGAAGACCTGATGGGCTGTGGGAGGACATCAAGAACATCATTCATGAAGACAGTAAAAGGTCATGCAAAGACAAGAAAGAAAGACCAAAGTGGATGTCAAAAGAGACTCGAAACCCGCTCTTACTCATAGAGAAGCTTAGGTCCGTGGAAGAAGGGATGAAGTCCAAGCGCCAAACAGAAAGCTCCAAAGGGCAGGTCAAGAAGACTAGGTAAAATATTATAATGAAAATATGCAAAGACCAAGAGTTAGAAAACAAAGAAACAAAAACAATGCCCAGCATATCTTAGAGATGAATGAACTCAAGAGAAAAAATCCCAGCTTCCAGTTGCAATCTTGAAAGATTCTATGGTCAAAATATTGCATGACGCAGGAAGCATGCTTAGAAGATGGAAAGATACACAGTCACTGTACCAAATGAACTAGTCAATATTCGCCACCTAGAATATGGAGCATTTTATTTCATCTTGTTTTTAATGGTGGAGATGTAGAATGGATGTGCAGGGGTGAAATCTAAGGCCAGCACATGTCTGAGGGGTGGAAGTACAATGGCAGATCTTCCTCTGAGAAAACTAGAACTTCAAAGTGAGAACGTATGCTTAAAATGCCAGGTGTATAACTTAGCTCACGTTCTAGCACAATTTCAGGGGATGCAAAACTAGAAAGAGATTTGGGAAGCATGATGGAAACAGATTCCTCTGAGGTGAAAAGTAATTTCATTTAGGCTTCAGATAATAGTTTGAATACAATGGTAACACAAAAATAAAAGATACCAGCTTAAAGAAAGTTACACGTCACTTAAGAAAACAATTAACAAAGGCAATGTAAAGAGCTCTCTGTATAATTAAATATTAGATTTACCACATGCATGTTATAAAACAACTATTCTTATAATGTTGAACAAAATAAATATAAAATATCAAAAAATTGACAGGAAATCTGAAACTATAAAAACTGGCATGACAAAACAGAAAGGAACAAAACAAAATGGAAAACTTTTTTAAAAAAGGAAAGAAAGAGAAAAAAAATGATCAAAGTCAAGGTCTTAATGACCAAATTGATTAGCAGTTTACAAATTGATGAAAAGTGAATTAGTGAATGTCAGTAGGTCAGAATCAGTATTCAGGTACAATAGGTAGAACTCAAAATAAGAATAACCTAAAAGCAGGGGAAAATAGAGGAAGAACAGAAAGCTTGATAATTCCAAATTCTGTCAAGAAATAGGAGCTATCATCCATGAGTAATGGATGTGTAAACCATGACAACTATTTCTGAAAATGTTAGCATGATTAGTTGAGTAGGAGTATGTCTATGTAGAATTTAATTTTGTCTCGTTTTTGAGCATTACATAAGTAATTGTCTAGCCTGAATATATGCATGCCACAGGCCTATGTTCCTGCAATTCCAGTTCTGAGGAACAAATAGTAGAGAATCTTGGGCAACAAAACATGCGTCCAACAATGTTTATAGCAGAATTCCTTGTAATAGCCGCCAGCTAGATACAATCCAAATATCCAAGTGTTCAACAGTGTGGAAAGAATAAATTGATGGTACATTGATAGGACAGAATATTAAAAACTTTAAAACTGAGCAAACTAGAAAACACTCAAAAGAGGTGATCCCTCCCTTTAATTTTTTTTTGGTAGTGTCTCCATTTACGTATCAATCCTGTAATAATAGTTAATTTTAAGTGTTTAGGAATGTTACATACATCAAACACTTATCATTTTTAGAGGAATAGATGCTTTTCATCACTCAATATAATTTTCAAACTCATCATTCTATTTTTACTCTTGTTAGGTGCAGTGAGTCAGCTCCAACTTGCAGTAGCCTTATACATAGAAGAAGAACACACTGCAGGGTCCCGTGCCACGTTCGTAATTGTTCCTGTGTGGTAGCCCCTGGAGCCAGCCACTGTGTTAATCCAGCTCATGAGAGTCTTCCTCTTTTACCAAACATGGTCTTCTTCTCCAGGAACTGGTCTCTGCTGATAATATGTCCCAAGTAGGTAACAAAACCCCTTCCCATTCTTGCCTCTTAGGAGAACTGTGGTCTTG